ATTTTAACTCTTCTTTCAAAACTCAGTATATTAGAAGCATTTCTTTCCCATAATAATCAATGGCAGAACTTAATTTATAATAATAAAATGGCATGGGTATGCTTAAATGTTATTTTGGAGAAAATAAATTTATAAATAAGTTATTTGGGATGCCATTCACTTACCTAAAATACTTTCAAATACATAACGTACTTATTATGTATTTATAATTAGCAGCTTTTGTGATATTGTTTGCTTCTTAATCCCCTAACGTCCAAAATGATATCATCGTTATTTCTTTTATTTATTTTTATAAAATTTTTAATCCTAGTTAATTTAGAGGGATAGGAAAGAAAATCTCAACTTAAACCATTCACAATAAAATTTCAACTCTCTAAGATACTTATATAAACATATTCAAAGTAACCAAATCTTCTAATAGAAAATAGGCAACTTCTATCATGACTCATTCACATCATCGATCATATAAATCCATTTTTCATAATCTTTCATTCACAAAGATTTGGTCAAACAACTTATATGCACCTAAAAGCTAACATAAGAACAATCTTGGTTGGAATTATTAACTAAATACCTTTTCCCCAAATTTCTAATTTCATTTCCAATCACTCACTACAAAGATAATTTCCTATTATAATAATTTAACTAACAATAATGCATTTATCAAACCATAAGTTTTCTACCACATTTCATCGAACATCTTGTGTATACTCATAATCAAACCATACATCAACATCTTATTCTTTAAAGCTCTTTTTCCTACAATTTCCAATGTTAAATTTTAATTTACCAAACTTGTCTTATTTCACTCCTTACACACAGATCAAATTAAGCTCAAAGAAAAAATAACATTGATTTCTTCATCATACAGTAACTAACGTATATGTAAGTGAGATTATCTACCAAGAATTATGCTTTTAAACTTAACTTTCAACTTGATCAAACCCCATTTACTCCACCCCCTACTCACGCACAGTAACAATAATAAAGAGGAAATAAACAACTTCAACCAATTAACACACCCACACACAAAATCAATGATAGAGAAGAGGAGCTCCACCAAGAATAAATTAAGTCTTAATAAAATTCAAACCCATATAGAGGGGAAAAACATATTGTTTCAAAATTTATCTCAGCTTGTTTAAACCCCAGTTATCCCATCCACGCATCACATTGTAATAGAGGGGAAAAATCAATTTCACACCAACCCATTCAACATGAGCTCGCTGCTGCAAGGAGAAAAAGAGATAAATCCAACTCACCAAGAAACCCTATAGAGAATGAAGGAAGGAGATCATCAAAGCTCCTTCAACTCTGGCGAACAGCACCAATAGAAACAGGGGAGAAGGAGGGAGTTAACCACTTGAACAGGGATGAGAAATTCACAATCGAACCTCCCGTAACAGCAGCCTAACTCCTCACGTGTTCATCACACACAAATGAACAGATTGGAGGAGGAGGAGGAATGTTTGACAGCACCGACAGCGGGGAGGGAGACTGAAATGGACGATAAAGCTGGGAAAATCTCACAACTTGGACCACAAACAGCAGCAACAGATCACAGCGTTCGTGGCCCCTATCTCTGCGAACTGAAAAGCAAATAAGAAAGAAGAAGACGGAGGTGGCAGAGCTCTGCGTTCAGAGCTTCCTTCTCCTCTGGTCTTTTTTTTTTTTTAAGTCGGTGAAGAGAAGGGAGGAAAGGAGATTTTCGAATGCTCTGTTCCGGACACGAGAGATAAAATTCTGAACAAAGAAATAATTGGAAAAACTAAAAGAAATGACACAAGAAAAAATTACAAACAAAGACACAAAGTTTTTCTATAATTTAAAACATGAAAAAATCAAACTCCTACACAATAAAATTCGAATTTTGAAATTTTAAGAAAGATATTAGCATAAGTTTCTCCAAACTATCATTTTTCACTGGCTATAAAACTAATTTAAATAAAATATAAATTGAAATAATTTTTTTAAAATTTATTAATTTTATTTATTATTATTTTTTAAAATTTTAAGATCATTACACATCTACTTCAAAATTTAATAGAATACTTTATTATTAATTTTAACTTAAATTTCTAGGTCATTACACATTGAATGATGAATTGGAATATATATCGGTCTATCCATTACATATATAGTATTAGAGATGGTTTCCTCAATTCTAATTTTAAATTTGAAAAAAAATAGTAAACCATATTTATTATTTTGGCAAAAAAAATACTTATTCTTATAAAGAGTTATGAAATTTTAAGCACTTAAAAATAAAATAAATACTTAAAAAATAGTATGAAAATTTGAGTTAATCTGCTCAATTAGTGAAATAAATAATTAAGTTAATGTCTTGATTGATTTAATAATATAAAATATTTCATTTATAACTATTAATTCTTGAACAAATGTTATGACTAGTCCGATAATATGATTACATGTCTCAAACTCAAACTCCAAATCAAGATCATAAGATGAACAAATTTAGCTCTCTTAACTAAATGCCCTCAATAAAATAAATGAGTAATTTTAAATTGTTAAAATGTAACATGCTAAATTTATACTTCACCATTAAAAAATATAAGATATTTTTAACCAAATCTCATCCTCCAATAAAATAGTTATTTACTTTCTAATTAACCCTATCTTTTCATATTTATCCCTATAAATACCCTACAATAAATATAAAGTTATTATTAATAGAAGCACTTTTAAAAAAAAGAAGAAGCAATGATTATACCTCAAAACACTAAAAATGCCTTACATTTTTTAACATTCAATTTTTCAAAAATGTCTTGTATTTTTTAACAGAGGGAGTAATTGCAATAAAATTTCAATAATAGTATGCAACTATGAATTGTGCAAGTCAAGTCTTGACAATTTAAATTTATTTTTTATATGATAATTACTTATAAAAAAAATCAAATTTGTTGAAAAAAAAATTAAATCTTAACCATTTGTTTTATTATTTAAGAGTAGAGATGAGATGAAGGAGGAAACAAAAGGAGAAAGAGGATTAGGAGAGAATTCACTCCCCAAAAAATTCCACTTTCTAAGGCCACACTTATTTTATACGATAAAGTTTTCTCCAATATCAATATCATGGGATTGCAATTTGTATCTTTTTCCAAAAAATAAAAAAAAAAGAAAAAGCATTTTTTGTTTAATTAAAGGAGTCAATTTTATAAATAAAGAAAAATACATCAGAAGTAAATGACCTGGCAAGCATTAAAATTAAAAAAGTCCTGAAGGCGGCAAAGACAAGACAGAAAATTTAAACTGCTGGAAAAAAGAAAGAAGCTTGGGGATGTTAGAAGCAACCACAATAGATGGATCCTGATCAGTGTTGAAAAGCTTTTTCTTGTGCATCAAAAACAGAGCGAGGATCTCTGAAGACTCTGTAACTCGGCAAAGTAAAGAACACCAGAAAGGCAGAATGAAGAACCCAAGACCTTGTAACTTGTCTTCTGCATATTCAGGGTACGGTGTTCCCATTGCTTCATCTTTTACCGACGATTGAGATGAAGAAAAGCAATTGCAGACTCCATCTTTGTTCTTGTTAGTTCCTATTGCTGCTTTATTATGCCTCACAGCTGCTTCAGTTAGGCTTGCACAGTAAGTAAACTCATTCGGATCTGTTAGTGAACTCTTTTTTTTTTTTTTTTTTGAACTGCTTCGTTTGCACCTCAATTTTGGAGAAACTTTGATATCTTGGTTTTTTTTTTGACCAAATTGATATCTTGGTTTTAATCCTCCAAGACAAGCTATCATGACAACACAAGCATCAACATCATCTTCCATCCATGATCATTGAACTTATGATGTCTTTATCAATTTTAGAGGAGAAGATACTCGTTATGGTTTATAGGCAATCTATATCATGATCTAACTAAAAAGGGAGTTCACACCTTCTTTGATGATGAGGAAATAAGAAAGGGAGATGAAATTACTCCATACTTTGCAAAGCAATCGAAGAATCTAGGATGGCCACCTGTGTATTTTCTAAAAACTACACGTCCTCAACATTTTGCCTTGATGAACTTGTCCACATCCATCAATGTTTTAAGAGAGATGGACGGAGAATTTGACCAATCTTTTATGAAGTGGAGCCCTCAGAAGTGAGACTTCAAAAAGGGAACTATGCACAAGCTTTGGATGACCATAAAATTAAAAACAGAGCTGATGAAGACAAGATGCAGGGTTGAAAGCTTGCACTACATGAAGTGGCAAATATCTGTGGCAAACATCTCATGTCAAGGTAATTTGCACCATTAATCCTTGATTTTTCTTTTACTAGCTTCATATTAGTATAAGAAAATTATTATGGATTTCTTACATAGTAAACATGGATTTATTGTGATTTCTCTCGTATATTTTTTTTTTTTTGTAATTTGTCAGGGATGGTCCATATGAATATCAATTAATTGAAGAGATTGTGAAAGAAATCTCTAGCAAAATCAATAGGCTCCCCTTACATGTCGATGATTATCTTGTTGGAATAGACCACAGATTGCAACAAATAAACCCTCAATTACAGCTTGAATCAAACGAAGAGGTCATCATGTTTGGAATTTATGGAATAGGGGGAATGGGTAAAACAACTATAGCTCAAGTCATGTATAACTCATTGGCAGATAATTTTGAAGGTCTATGCTTCCTCCATGATATTAAAGGAAACTCAAGTAGTTTGGAAAGAATGCAAGGGAGAATACTTTCAGAGATTTTAGAGATCGAGATGAAAATTGAAGATGTGAACAAAGGAGTTACAATTATAAAAAAGAGGCTCAAACAAAAGAAAATCTTTTGATCCTTGATAATGTTGATAAGCATGGGCAATTGCAAAAATTAGCCGGTAACTGTGATTGGTTTGGTACTAGTAGTATAGGATCATTATTACGACGAGGGACAAACATTTACTTGAAAAACTTGGAGTTGAGAGAAAATATGAGATTAGAGCATTGAATGATGAAGAATCTCTTAAATTATTAAGTTGGAAAGGTTTTAGAAGTATGCAAGTTCATGCAAGCCACAAGGAAGTTGTGGAAAATTTGATACATTATGCACAAGGTCTTCCCTTAGCACTAGAAGTTATAGGCTCTAACTTGCAAGGTAAGACAGTGAAGGAGTGGGAATCTGCATTAAATCTATATGAAAGAATTCCCAATGAAAAAATCATCAACTATTGAAAGTAAGCTACAATGGCTTAGAACCAACTGAAAAAGGAATTTTTCTTGATATTGCTTGCTTCTTCAATCGCTTCGTGGATGGAAGTTTGAACTATGTTGAAAAAATGAAGAAACTTGTTCACAATATTGATCCATACTATAGTATTAGCGTGTTGGTAGACAAATGCCTCATAAAGATTCAGTATGGTTGTATCAAGATGCACAATTTAATACAAGATATGGGAAGAGAAATTGTTCGTCAAGAATCGCCAAACGAGCCCAGAAAATGCACTAGGTTATGGATCAATCAAGATATTGTTCATGTTTTGGAAAAAAAATACAGTGAGTAGCACTAATTTGGATACTCTACTTTCTTTTCTTTCCTGTTTAAAGATATGGTTTGCTTTTATTTTCTTCATGCAAGTTACATATTATGTTTTTGACTTAGGAAGTGAATGCTTATAGTTTGAATGAATGACTGAAACAAATAGAATGATCCTGAGGAGTGGGTTGGTGTTCTCCGAGAAGTGAATGTTTATAATTTGAATCAAAATTAAAGAATGCTTCATAAAACACAGGGTTAAAATACAACGAAGGGCCATTGGTTAAGATTAGGGGGAAAAAAACTTAAAGTCAAATATCTAATAATAAATGACTTTTGATCTATTTAAATTTTGGTTTTCTTTTGTAATATTATGAAAATTTTAATTAGCTAGCTAGGACCGGACTTCATCGTTTTCCTCTTTGTTTCTTGATCTTACTTTCTTCTTGTTGATGATTTGGAGGAAGAACAACACTAATTGGGATATGCTTTTTTTTTCCTTGCTTTATATATATATAATCTTATTGTTCTTTCTAATTTGCATAATTTCTTCAATTTTGGTGGCATCACTATTGATGATATTTAATTCCCCCCCCCCCAATAAGTTGTTCCTGTTTTGGAGAATAACGTACAGTAAGTGTACACTATATATATAGATTATCAACTTTTTTCCCATTTTTTCCTTATAATTTTATTGTTCTTTTCACCATTTTTTTGGAGGAATCACAATTGATGAAGTTTACATTTATTTTCCTTATTTTATATTGAGTTGTTAACTTGCGCGTTTTCCTGTAGTGAATGTTTATTCGAAATCAAGACTTAATTTATAATTGAAATCAATTACATGAGGATTATTTCTTTTCGAATTTTTAGTTTCTTGTCTTGGTCCTCACACTGTTATTATACTTACTTTAATCTTTTTACTTTAATGTAATATATTTATTTTCTTTGAAAAAATTAAAATAAAGACTAAGCCGGGTGAATTGGTTTTTTTAGAGATGTTTTTCTTAAAAAAGGTAACATGTCAAAAAAGATTTACTTGATCGAATTATAACTTTATGCACATCGTGTTTTTAATTTTGACTATGGAATTAAATTTTCCTGTAGTTGTTTTATGATATTTAATACTATCAGTACTCATAACTATTTAACGATTCATTTTTGTCGGCTTATAAATGAATGCATAAAATTGAAATTATAATAAGTATTTCATAAAAAAAAAGACATATGTATGTGTGCAGCTAATGATGTACTCCCTCCATTTTTATATACATAAAAATAAACTCTATCACACAATTTAAAAAAGTTAATTAATCATAATACTTATGTCTGAAGAAAAAAAACTAAACTAAAATGCCCTATGTTAATCAACATAAGAAAGCATTAATTATTAACTTGTTAATATAAATTATGAGGGGTGATTTAAAAAATAAATAATAAATACTTATTGAAATAGATAATTTTGCTTATATATAAAAAATAAGTAAAAAGTAATAGTTTTTTCTATAAATAGAAACGGAAGAAGTATGATTTTTACTATTTGGCTTTAGGATCATAGTTTTAGATAATTTTTCCAAATGTACATATGTAAACTAGGAGGGAAAAGCTTTCAACAAGATGATGAATCTCAAAATTCTTATTTTGAATTAGATAAGCGTTCAAAAAAGTGCGATCTTACGATTTATGTGATATTACAGTGATGATGATTAAAAATCCCAACATAATTTGTCTCCGAATATTCATTTAACAATAGAGTTTTATTGGCTTAATTAGAAATAAATTCATAAAGTTGAATTCATAATTAAATAACGTTTCATAAAACGGAGCTAAAACGCGACAAATGATCTTTGGTAAGATTAGGGGGGAAAAAACCTCAGTCAAATATCTAATAAGGAATGGCTTTTGATTTATGCAAATTTTTGTTTTCTTCTTTAATATTATTAAAAATTTGATTAGGACAAAATTGTTCTCCGCTTTGTTTCTTCATATTGTTTTCCTCTGTTTCATGTTTTGGGGGAAGTCTATATAAATAACACTAACTGTGATGTGCTTTTTCTTTATAATATTACTGTTCTTATAAGTTGTTATGTGCTTTCAACTTAGAAAGTGAATGCTTACGATTCAAATAAAGACTGGGTGACCTAAAATGGTTTTTTTTATATGATTAGCTAAAAAATGATAAGAGTGCTTGACTTTATTAGTTTATATAATTTTGTTTGTTATGTTTGTAGCTGAGTATCAACAAGCTAGGTCTGCGCAATTGGCAGATGTATACTTCCTAACTAATACAAGTTCTATGGGAAAAAATGTGACATAAATGGTTTTCTTGTTGCCAAATATGCAGTCATACATACATATCAAACTCCTAATATTTATGATTTGCTTTTATTTTTGGCTAAGGGATCAGAAGAAGTTGGTATTATAATTTCAAGAGATCAATCCAAATGTATAGAAGTGAATTGGGATGGAAAAGCCTTCAAGAAGATGAAGAATCTCAAAATTCTTATGTTGAATGAGAATATGAAGCTTTTAGAAGGCCCCAAATATCTACCTAATAGTTTGAAAGTGTTGAGATGGCCGAGATATCCTTCATCATGTTTGCCACTCAACTTTCATCCAAAGGAACTTTTTGAATTGGATATGGGACTTGGTTGTCTAAAGTCAGTAGAAATGATTAAGGTAATTAAGGACTCCATCTTTTGTGTATTTGTTTGGATATAGGTAGTCTCGATTTTGATCATTTCTTTACTTGGAATTTTTTTATGGTTTTGTCTTTTGCAGAATGTCTCAAATCTAAGTACTTTGAATCTTGGATATTGCCATTACATTACACAAATACCTAATTTATCTGGCCTCTCAAATTTAAAGGAATTGTGTGTTTATGGATGCCAAAATTTAATTGCAATTGAGGATTCTGTTGGAGAATTAACAAAACTTGAAACCTTGAATGTGCAAGCATGTGCCAAACTTAAAACCTTTCCCCACGGTATCAAGTCACCGTATCTTCAAAGGCTCGAACTTACTGGTTGCAAAAGCCTAAAGTGCTTTCCAGAAATACTAGAGAAAGTGCAACCAACTGAACTGTCTTTTTGGGAAACTGGAATGGAAGAACTTCCTTCAACTATTTGCAATCTTACTCAACTTGAGGGGGTAACAATTAGTGGGAAAGTTAAGCCACCAAATATGGATTTTCTGTTGCGAGGACAATGTGATAATGTTGATGAAGGTTGTGGAAAGTTGCTGAAGGAAGTGATTCTATTTCCAAACTTAGATATTGTTGACCTCACAGAATGTAATATATCAAGCAGGAAGAGCCTTCAAAGTTATCTTTCTTGGTTCTCCACCATGAGAGAGTTGGACTTGAGCAACAATGACTTTATTACAATTCTGCCAGCATGCATAAAAGAATGTCGCTTTTTGTGGAGGCTTAGTTTACTTTGGTGCAGGCATCGGCGAGAAGTGGAAGGGATTCCACCAAACATAAGACAGTCGGATGCAGAAGGTTGCATATCATTGAGTTTAGAGTCGAGAAACTTAATGTTGAGTGAGGTCATTAATTTTTCTGCCTCTGATTTTCTGAACATCTCTGTTAAGTATTTATGTGACTCTATATATATATGTTTCTCAACATTTATTTTTGTTTCACAGCAGCTAATTATTGGGGCTGTAGTGATCAGAGATGTGGAGATTGTTGATGATGAGTGTTTTGAATTTCTGAAAACAGAATTCGTTGTGCCAGCATCAAGCATTCCAGAATGGTTCCATCACTGTAGCAAAGGAGCACCTTTGTCATTTTGGTTTCGTAACTCCTTTCCAACTCTATGTCTTTGTGCTCTTCTCAAATTTAATGGTGACATGGCTTGTAAACATACATTTATACATGCGGTCCCTAAAGCAGTAATTAATGGAGAAAGAATATCTACGATATTGGACAAATATGATGCTACATTGTGGTCAGGAAGTTTATGGGATCACGAACATATAATCATCTGTGATCTTCGAGAGGAATACTTTGATGGAGATGATAAAGTAATTGATGGATTATAAGAAGGTGTGTGGCATTATGCGGAGGTTTTCTTTTCATTTTCCCCATCACTACCTGATTGGATGGATGTTGTAAAGGAGAGTGGAATCTATATACTGGAACAAGATTTTAACATGGAAGATATCCAATTCACTTGTCCTAAATTTAATTCAATTCCCATGAATATTGTCCAAGGTACGTATTCCATTTAATACACTAGATTGTACTAAAATTTTATGTTGCTTGACTAAACTACTTTTTTCTCTGTTTTTCTTTTTATAAGTTAACATTTAAAATAAAATAAAAAGATATTTCAACCTAGGGGGAAATTTTTAAATTTCATAGGTTGTAGGTGATATATGAATTCAATTTGGTTACATTATATATTATTTAAAAATTAAACATAAGTTATGCAATTAAATGTACATATATTTTCTTTTACATAGATATTGTGTATACTTACCTCAAATAAATAAATAAATCATTTGGCAGTGAAGCTCTGGTGATAGTGAAAAGTAATGAGAAATAATAATTAGTAATTAATAATAATTGATAAAGATGTTCATGTTATTAGAAGAATTTTAGTTATTTACATTCTAATTTTATATTCACTTAATTGCATATGTATGCATGCATCTCAATAATGATAGTCCTTCCGCAGAAGAGCAACCAACGCTGAAAAAGAGGCGGTTGATGGAAGATAATGATCTTATTTTAGTAAGTTCTTGTTTTTTTTTTGAATTTGAATTTTTTAATCACTTTATATGGCCTTTAACTTCCATATTAATTAATTAACCACATTTCAATTTATCTGATTTTTTAGATTCGAGATTCCATGAGTGTCGACCAAGGTGATGCTCTTGTCAATTTCCTTTCAATGCCTTTCTTGCTTTAGCAGCCCCTTGTACTCTATCTCTTTAGTTAATGTAATTTGCCTTTTCATCCAAAAAATAAAACCAAGGTGATGCTCTAGTCCTCTTTAGTTTTCCTAAAAATATGATTAGGATGCATCCAACTTCCAAAAAATTAAATGTGATAATCATATCCATCCTTTTATTTCAAGTAAATTTCTTACAGTGTTGATCAAATTCTAGAATGCTGTGAATGTATGTGTATATTCCAATATCTCTTTCACATAGTTTTGAAAACAATGATATTTAGTTCTCTCATTTAACCCTGTTTCAGGTAAGAAGGATTTCCATAGCAATCTTCTGCGGCTACAAGTAAGTAAGCTCATTTGTTTCAGATTTTGGGACGTTTACTCAGTTTTTAGTGGATTAATCTGCAAGTCTTGTTGAGTTTTCACAAATATTGTGCAGGAAATTGAATACGAAAAGCAAAACGCAGACAATAAACATTCAATTTTCAAGTAGAGAAAATGAAGAATCAGTTAAAGTAAGGAGGCTAAATAATAATATGCCACATCAACAAGACGAAGCTTTAACCAGTGATCAAATCACAGAGAGCTGTGAATATGTCATAAATGGTAGAGGAAAAGACATTGTACTCTACAAAGATGATCCCATTAATGGCAACAATATAACAGAGGTATATATTGTGATTAATTATATATTTTTTTAAGATTAATCAAGAAATTTTTTACAGGTATTTTTTCAAGTGAGGAACATATATATTTACATTAAAATTATCAGGAAATACTGCTAGTTGGTTTACTCTTTTTGTTTTTTTTCCTATTTGCATGATTAGATGATCGGACAAGACTACATATATGACTCAAATACCAAAAGCAGCATGACATGGGATCCAATGGAATGTGAATATGAAGGAACAAGTCATGCTAACAATAATAAGGATCCATATGACCAGAGAAGACATCATCCATGGTTTTTGTGTTTTAATCTCTTCACTTTCGTTGCCTCGCTCTATTCTTCTTCTTTATCATATTTCTCCATTACAAGAAACTAAAATGAATTATCATTGGACTCTTTAATTTGAACTCCTTTGTTAGATATAAATTCTGGGCTCTAGACTCTTGTAATGGTTTTGGTATCAAGATTTGGCTCATTTTAATTCACTGAAAATTGTTTGACGTAGAAACCTTATTCATATGATTTACATTCTAATTATTTACATTCTAATTAATTGTTTGATATTAATGATTTCTATGTTAAAAGAATTTTAATTATTTACACTCTAATTTTCTGTCCACTTGTATATGTATGCAAGTGTGCATGTCAATAATGATAGTCCTTCCACAGAAGAGCAACCAACGCTAAAAAAGAGGTGGTTGATGGAGGATAATCATGTTATTTCAGTAAGTTCTTATATTTCTTTTTTTGAATTTGAATATTTTTAATCACTTTATATATCCTTTACCTTCCATATTAATTAATTAACTACATTTCAACTTGATATTTTTTTTACATTTAGGGTTCCATCAGTGTCAACCAAGGTGATGCTCTAGTCCTCTTTATTTTTCTAAAAATATCATTAGGAGTAGGACTCATCCAACTTTTAAAAAATATAATTTAATGGAATAATCATGTCCCTCATTTTATTTCAAGTAAATTTCTTACAATGTTGATCAAATTCTAGAATGCCGTGAATGTGGATGTGCATATCCCAATATATCCTTCATATACTTTGAAAACAATGATATTTAGTTCACATATTTAACAAAAACAGAACAAGACTCCCTTGTTTCAAGTAAGGAGGATCTCCATAGCAAATTTCTACCGCTACAGGTAATTAAGCTCATTTGTTTTGGATTTTGAGACATTTATTAGATTTTTGGTGGATCAGTCTATAAGTCTTCTTGAGTTTTCACAAATATTGTGTAGGAAATTGAATACAAAAGCAAAGCACAAATAATGGTCATTCAACCTTCAAGTAGAGAAAATGAAGAATTGGTTCAAATAAGAAAGCCAGGTATGAATATGACGCAACAAAAAGATAAAGCTTCAACCAATGATCAAATCACAAAGAACTTTGAAAATGTCATAAATGGCAAAGGAAAAGACATGTTACTCGACAGAGATGATCCCATCAATGACAACAATATAACAGAGGTATATGTTGTAACTAATTTATATCATTTTGAAGATTAATTAGGAAATTTCTTCACAGGTATTTTGTCAAATGAGGAACATATACATTTACATTAAAAATCATATAACTTGTTTTCTGATTGAAATTGAATCATACCATTTTTATTATACAGAAAATATGATGTTTTCAGCAATGGAAGAGCACACATATAATATATCCTAAGCATTTAGCAATATGATGTTTTCACCATTGCCAGTATTTTTTTGTCATTTGCCCTTCCTTGATGTGTATGTTTGACTGTTTTTTTTTCAGGTGGGAGATTTAGAGATAAATAAATAAATTGAGTATTTGATAAAAACACACATGCATACACATAAATATAGGGAAAATATTCAGAATACGTGAATGGTGGGGTTGCAATTGTGAAATGCTACTAGTTGATTAACTTCTTTTTTTCCCCCCTTGTTGCCTGATCAGATGACTGGACAAGATAACAAATATGACTCAAATGGCAACATGACATGGGATCCAATGGAATGGGAAGAATATGAAGCAACAAGTCATGATCATATTAATAATAATAAGGATCAACATGAACAGAGAAGAGATCATCCATGGTTTTTGTGTTTCCATCTCTTCACTTTCGTTGCCTCGCTCTGTTCTTCTTCTTAAATAGATCTTTCTCCATTACAAGACACCAGAATGAATTATCACTGAACCTTATTTAATTTGAACTCTTTTTTTAGCTATAAATCCTGGACTTTGGACTCTTTTGTAATGGTTTTGGTTTCCTCATATTTGATGGCAAATTAACACTGATTTGGGTCATTTAAATTCACTGCAAACTGTTTGATGCAAAATTCTTGTCCATATGATTTGCATTACAATTTCCTCTTCCAGTCACGGTCAGTGTGTCAGGTCCCTGCTTACCAATTTAATTGATCATTACATTAATACACACACACACAGATATTATATGTTTATAGTAATTAATCTGTTAATGATAAATTAATGGTAGGATAGTGGACTGGCAAATAACATCCATGCAATGTTTCAGAGCATTTCTTAAAGTTAATCATTAAGATATTCAAATCAGAATACACAAGCTTCAATTTTATTATCATTATTTGCTTGGCTGGGGGGTTACCCAAGCTTTATTTTAAACTCAAGTAGGGGTGTAGGACTAAATATGATAGGTTGGTTTTAAATGTATAGGCTATGGCTGTATGGACAAAATGGTAAAGAACCTACAAGTTTATGATGCCTTACCCGATTGATTAAACTAATATATATTTTGTCTCGAGCAGTTTGGCTTCATTAGGGATATCCTCCTGCAAGATGGTCCTACTGTAGGCGTCTTTGAATTTAAATATATATTTTCAATATTAATCAATTTTAGTTTGAATGGCATCTTTGAATTTGAATTCTGTTGATGGATCCCTAGAATTAGGCTTCCTCATAGGCAAAGTAGTAGGATAGTAAGATTGATGATGCTGTAGTTTAATACAAAATGCTTAGAGCTTACTCTTTTGAAGAAGATTGATGATCCTGTAGTAAATCAACTATAGTAGTTTACATCAAAATAATCCATGTAATAGAACAAAATATGCATGCATGCTTATAGCCCAAGTTAATGCTGATTTTAACATCATATTCAACTTGGATAAATTTAAAACTTTGTTCTTAGCTTCTTTGTTGAGTAACTTTTGGATTTGTCCCTAGACATGATCAGGCCTCATGTAAATTTCAAAGACATAAAGTTGTAAAAACTCACATCATACAAATTCTCTCCAAGCTTTAATTTAACTGCTCCACACTTGTATGCTGGCATTTTGCCCATGTAACCACCAGACACTTCTTCCATATTATTGTAGTCCTTTATGGAAGCTTCTAATGCACCTACTTGCCGACTCCTTAACTAATGGCAGAGCAGGACACTACTACAAAATAAGCTTACAGGAGCGCTTTTTTTTGACCTTAGGGAGCGCTTTTGAAGCGCTCTCATATCAAGCGCTCCGAAATTTACAGGACCGCTTTTTTTAAGCGCTCCTGTATGTAAGCGATACAGGAGCGCTTTTAGAAAAGCGCTCCCGTAATAGCGCTAGAGTACACGTCATGTACGGGAGCGCTTTATGTAAGAGCGCTCCTGTATGATGCATACCGGAGCGCTCTCTATAGGAGCGCTCCCGTATGACTAACCTTACCGGAGCGCTCTTTACATTCCCCATACGGTAACGCTCTTTATAGGAGTGCTCCCGTATGGCAACTTACCGGAGTGCTCTTTAAAAGAGCGCTCCCGTAAGTTTCTTTACAGGAGCGCTCTTCAAATGAGCGCTCCCGTATATTATATTTATTTTTTTTAAATTAAATTTTTTAAATTTCTCCTTTTAAATATCTTTAATAATGGAAAATTATAATATCAAAAACTAATTTAAAAATAATATCAACATAAAAATTTTATATACAAGAAAAAAATTTGAAACTGATACAACAATTTCAATTTTCCAACTAACCTAGTTTAATTTCTAACAAGCCTAACAAATGAAACTATTGTTATTTTTTTAACATTGAAATCTAACTTCCTATCACAAACAGCCAATAATATATTCTGACCATTCTTCAACTAAATCTTCTATTTGCTCCATAGTAAAATGCGAATATTTGCTCCAACAAAATACTACACAAGATATGAAAGCAATATATAAGTAATTAACATTATATTAACTTAATTTCAAAGCTTTTGACTTACATTTTCAGGAATGATCAACTCTTGTTGTGTGATTACTTCTCTCATAAACTTCATAACATAGTATCCACACTCTCAACCTTGTAATTGTGTAGGTACCTATAAAACAATAAAAATGTCATTTATATGGTAGAAATAAATTCTAACTTAATTTAAAATACTTCAGTGATGAAGTTATATATATGATACAAGTATTTGCTGTCGAAAATCGGCAGAGTCTCCCCTATAACTTGGAAGTTCTAGAATTTTTCAAAAATTCTACATCAATCCAGAACAACATATTCAGAATAACAAACATAAAATATCAATCAAACAATCATTTAGATATGTACCAACTTGTTTTATTAAGAAAATAATACAAACCTTTATTCTTTTCCAAGAATAAAACTCAACAGGATCAGGTCTTTCGGTGTTTGGAGGGAGACCTTCACCTCCTCGATAACGTGCTACAGCCCTATTATATAATGATTAAGCATACCAAGTAAAAATTAATTATTATAATAAACATATATAAAGAATATAGAACTAAAAACTTACTGATTAAATAATATCCTCATAGATTTGTAGTTCTTAAAGTCACTATCTCTTAATGAATCAAGATAATAAATCACAGGGACGAATGGATTGATACAAACAAGCACCCAATGTTGCCTGAAAAAATAAAATAGTTCATTAACTAAAATATCAACTAAAGTTAAAAATAAACAATAATAACAATTTACCCTGGATTGTGAGGAGCTAAAAATAACATGTTTCTTTTGCCTTTGACTTTGAATGCATCAGTAATCTTTTGAGAATGGTACTCAACACTGTAGGTACTAGTGTTGTGCGGGCTAATAAATGAAAATTTTGTTATCAATGAGCCCGGCACCACAAAAGTATGATATAAGTACCTAAAATGAAAAAAAATAGAATCATTCACAACTAAAATTAAATAAATACCACAATAAGTAATAAAATTGAGAAAGTACCTGATGTATAAACTAATTTGTGTTGTTTGTAGCCAATCCTTGGTCAGAATCTCGTTAATATTTTCAGCTGCTAATTTTTCGCTAATTATTTCACCATAAATCTCCTTTTCAAATTCTACTTCACGGATCTCATTTTTCAATGTTGTCCGCATAATCATTTCAAGTGCATTTTGATGAGGATATTTCAACTGAGTAGATTCTGTGCTGGTCTTCCCTGCCTTAGTCACAGAGGTAGATCCTTTCGATGGCTTTCCTTTCGCTTTGATTGGCTTCTTTACAACTTCTTTAAATTTTGAGGACTACAAGATGTAAAATGGATTGGTAAGGCCGTAAGAAAACATGAATGATTTTAAAGAACCATCAATTATTATACCTGTAACTTAATGAGCTTTGAAGGCCAAGCCACATAAGTTCCAACGGCATCAAAAATCGTGAATATATCCTCATCTTCTATTTGCACTGGCAACTCAGCATCATTTTCTATTGGAATAGTTATAGTCACCTTTAAGTGATCAGCAGGCAACGGTCTGGAGTGTATAGTAACACTATTATCATTATACACAGATCCGATTGCCACAACACGACAATGTGGTGATTCTAACCATAATTGACATTGAGACTCGCCTAAAAATTAAAAATTAATATCTTAAAAAAATGTGAAACATAATTTGTGAATAAAGAGAAGATAATAGAAAGAAAAATTATAACCTTAGGAAAGTCTTCTTTAGTATGGAAGGAGCAACTATCTTTATCACTGGGGCTACCTTGTGGCATATTTATAACTCCAATCATTTGCTCAAATCTCTTTTCCATTTGAGCTTGAAATTTTTTTTTCCATTCTCGCCTCCATTTCTGCCATCCTTGCATTAAAATCATCTTCAGTAAAAATTTTAGACCGACGTCCAAAGTAGGTGCCCTGAGAAATGCCAAATCCAACTCCTCTAACACGACCAGAGACCTCTGGAGCTCCCAATGCCCTACCAAGGACATCCACATGCTCCCCACATCATCTTGTGATATTGATTGTGATAATGCTTCCTGTTGAACAAATTGTAAACTAATTATTAAGTAAATAATGTAAATAAAGTAATACACTAAAATATTAATACTCACACAATCCTCCCAGACTTTTCGAGTGCGTTCATCAGGTAATTTGCCTTCTTTATCTTCTTTCCAAACAAGAGCTCGAGAAATTGGAGCATTAGGTCCAACTTCTTCCCTCTATTTAAAGAAGATATTAGAATAATTAAAAAATATTTCCTTATATATATATATATAAGTAATATCAACAGACGATATTAATTGAAACTCACCAAACTATGTTCAATATCTGGATAGCTCTTTCTTCCTGCTCTATATTGAAAAGGAGTACTTGCGGCTCTAGAGCGATTGACCTGGCTGATCTGTTGAAATTCAGGCTGTTGGCGCATTTTAATAAATTCATCCCAATGCTCTTGCTGGATCTCTGGATACATTTTAGGAGGATGAGGATTGAATTCTTCATTTGCATCTTTTAGATGATATGTTGTGAGGGTAGCTCGAAACTTTCTATGAGCATATGCTGCTTTTCTCATGATATAATGCCTATGACTCTCATCCAGGTCAAAAGATATACACAAATCTTCCCATATATTATTTTTTGCTTCTTCAAGCTGTGGGTCATTTTTCTTTCTCCAGTCTGCAATGCAACAGGGAACATAATGACGAGCTAAGACCCCTATGTAACTGGCCAACTGAGGAGACTTAACTAATTGGCCCCTATCATTCCAATTTACTGGTAATTTACGACCAGCTGCTCGAGCCCGTATTACTGCTTTCATAACAGTTTTACCCCGTTTAACCTCCTTGAATGCTTCTTCTTCAGTGGGTGGAGCATCACCACTGTTCTCAGGTGGGGTAGCCATATACCTGAAAGGAAAAATGTAAATTTTTAACAACAAAAAAAAATTTAACAACTAAAAATAAATTTTTAACAATTAAAAGGAAATTTAAATAAAGAACTTACAAGTGTTAAAATTTATTTTTTCTTTTTTTGTTTTTTTCTTTTGTGTGTTCTACATATCCCTCATCAATCCAA